AACAATTCTGCTCTGTAGACACGTGAGATAAGATCGTCAAGTTTTATTGTCAGATTTGTATTCGCTAACGCGCGTTTACTGATATCGTTATCGTATCGTTGTCAGTTTAATTGTATCGTTTTAGATGATTTATCTTCGAACCAGATTTAGACTGATTTAATGTTCACCGCACCTGTATATGTTCTTTTGTATAAGACGAGCACCTTTCAGACATATCCCGCCTACACACAAACAACCCTTAGGAACGGCTATTTTAATGCTRTGTTCGACAGGTATATTGAGCTGTTTTGAGCATGCTTATTGTCCGTTCGTTTATGGAGAGCATAGGAGAACAACTAAAAGATGTTAAGGGAGGCGTATTAAGCTGTTTTGGTTATTTTTATCGCCCATCCATTGATGAGGGCAGAAAAGAAAAAAAATTCTAAACAAAGAAAAATTCCATAGCAATCAATTAACGTTTTTACGTTTTTTGTCGAATGGAATATTTCATTGATGGACATGATGAAAGCCGGTTTTTTCTATATTTAAGACACGACTAAAATCTGCTCTTATCAATCAACCTGCTTGAAGAGTAAGAGTAAGAGAATAGGTCGTACTGGACGAAAGAAATAGAAAGAAGCGAGAATTAACGTTACCCACCAAGCACATTTTTATAAACGTATGCTTTTTTTTTGCAAAGACTAGTATTTTACCAATGTTATAAGATACGTATACTATAAGAAAATATGTAAAAAAGACAGTTGATAATATGTTAAGGTAATCGAATAAATCAAACGATGAAAAATGATTAAACAAACGAAAGAAAAACAAACGAAAGAAAAACAAACGAAAGAAAAACAAATGAAAGAAAAACAAAAGGAAGAAAGACAAACGAAAGAAAAACAAACGAAAAAAAGCAAACGAAGAAAAACAAACGAAAGAAAAACAAACGAAAGAAAAACAAACGAAAGAAAAACAAACAAGGACGACTGAAATACATCGCATACAAAACTGAAGTACAAAATAATTTGACACCATCTTGTAAAAGCAAAAGTGTTTAAAAAAACATATCATATGAAACTGAAATCAATTTTATGCAAACCAAAACCTTCTCAGTAATATGCTATTCCAATGATCCGATGAGGATATATATACCGAACTGAATACTTTTTTTCAAATCTTTGGTTAGTCTGATTATTTTTTCAAAAAATTGTATTTTTAATTAATAAGTTTAATAAGAGAATAAAACAGAATGTAGGCATGTTTTGGATATAGTTTACCTAAAATATTTTTTAAATATTTTCTTACTATCAGTAGATCAATGTGCTTCTA